GACAAGGAATTGGAAACGTTGTCATCCTTGGCGATGATGGGAGACGGTGGACAACGCTGCGTGCGGCCGGCGTCCTCGTATGGACCTCTATAGGTATATTCTCCTCGTTCGGAGTACACAGCTGATTGACATGATCCCACAAACTCGATCCTGTTAGGGCTACGCGTTCGTTTCCACAATCTTCGTGACTGGGGGTGACACGATTGGTGACGCTTCAGAGTGATCGGTCCCTCAGCCAGAAGGATGCTTAATATCCCTCCGACAAGGACAACAGGGCGGCCGATCCTTCTCCACACCCCCAATCATGTTATGTCAACAGTTCGGGGGAATACCGCGGAAAGGGACCCCCATAAGGAGAATACCAAAATTAACACAAGGCTGCGGTAGCGCTGACGAGGGCCCAATGAGATCGACGTTAGGCGAAAGAGTACCACTGCGTTATGGGAAATGCAGTTTAAACATTCTATGCACGACACGAGGGTCAAAGGAATGCGCAATTTTACGTGCTGCAGTCTTCTCACCGGCTGTCTACCGGGGTACCAGTCGAGAACTCCCGAGACCACGGCATCAATCACAGGGTTGGGGATCCTGTGGTGGTCCTGAACAGCCTTCCAAGAACGAGAAGGACGAAACATGCAGCACGATATAGATATATAAAGGGCAGTCGCAGCTCTTCATTCTCAGTACCAGCTAGGTCGTCCATCACTTCTCACATTTACAGTCGGCAGATCATTTCCTTCCGTCACTCGTTACTTATCAGCTTCTGTTCAGTTCAGATCGCTTCAACACCGCAATAATGAAGACCTCTAGCATTCTTTCCTCCCTCGCGCTGGCCTGCGTCGCAGCAGCTGTACCCTCTTCGGACTACTCTGGAGGCTGGGGAAACGGCGGAAAGGGTGGCAAGGACGGGAACTGTGTGTCCCAGGACCAGGCTACCAAGATTGTCCATGACTACGCCTTCTTCCTCGCCCACGCCGACCCCAACCAGCTTGCGCAAGCCAACGCGACAGCTCAAAGAATCCTCGCGGACGACTTCACTGAGCAGTCCGACTCCATCAACGGCTTCCTCGGCCTCAAGGTAAAGGATGTCCCCCATATCGCGCAATTGCCAGAGAACTGATTCAGGATGTGTATAGCCCGGTGACCTCACTTTCCCCAACAAGCAGGGATACATCAGCGAGGTCTTGACCCAGCCACCCGTGATTGGAATCACCGACCTTCAGCTCATCCCCTTCAACTGCAACCAGGTCCTCTGGTACTGGAAGTTTGACAACCCGGGCAACCTCAACGCCCCGCAAGCGCCCCAGCCTGTTCAGGGCATGAACATCTTCGACATCAACGACAAGGGCCTCATTGAGCACGTCAACGTCGAGTTCAGCGTCTTCTACTACGTCGACCTTGGATTCAACGTCTCTGGCTTCCGCGGCCCCATCACAGGTGTGAACCCATGAGCGACGCGTTCGGCCAAAGCAGTTACTCCAGCTGCACAGACATTGTTGGAGGGTGATTTGAGGATGCGACTCTGATTCACCGTGATTATTCTCTACATTTGGGCATTATTTCTTTTGAACAGAGCTGGGTAGAAGATGTGGTTTCATGTGCAAGCCGTGTTGACAAGTGCAAGTGTTTACCATAATCGTCAATCTGGGTAGCACATTATAAAAATTCCAGTGTATTTCTAAGTACATCATTTTCCCAAGCCTTGGTTACAATTTCTCACACCCACTTCGGGATAACTTACGAGGATCTACATACTAGGTCGGTAGCCAAAGACATTCTCCGCATGTACATACCTGGTACCCGGCGAGCTAGATGACAAAATAAGTGGCACGTTTCATCAAGCGCCAGAAGATCCGCTCTTCATGGATTATGACACCCCATTCGCCGTGTATCACACAAGTGCCCTTGACTCGGATGCTCCGCCAGTCACGCAGCTCTCGAGACAAGAAGTTGACTGCCTCCTCAACCTCTTCTGGCAAAGATTGGATGTCGGCATGCCGATTTTAGACCGTGATACTTTTGAAGAGCAGTATGAAAGCCTCTGGACTAACAGCACAAAGCTCACAGAATTCATCGCCCCTTGTGGATGCAGTCATAGCCGTCGCTTCACAGTACCAATTCTGCCGGTCGAAACTCACAGCGGCAATGCTCCAAGTGCACGAAATGTTGTAGCGACGCACAGCTGGCAACTCGCTTTTCGATGCAGCAATAGTGGGCTTGACTTCTGAAACATTGGATTCCGCTTTGTATCCTTTTGACGGACATGTTCACTTCTCTACAACCTAACACAAATGTCGTATCCGCAAGGGCAAATACAATTTCACCAACTGAGGCATCCTTGGCTATACAAGCAAGAAACTCTGCTCTGGCTTCATTATGATCTGCTTTACGCAAGTTTTGTAAGCTGAATTTCTCCAAATAAAAAGCAAAAATGCATCAATGCTGCCAAAAGCATACCATTGCTCCGACTCGACGAGCAAGTCTCAGACAGATCGATGCATGGAATACTGGAAAATATTCCGTCTCTTCCATCTCCTCACCCTGTTCTCCGTACTCACCTCGGCTATTACGTCCTGGATCCCCAGATGTCGGAGAAGCATTCCCGGACATCCCCACGTCAAGGAGAGAAATTTATATGATCCGCATCTAATTTTGCTTAAAAATTCTTCGTGGTTTTCGAGGCAGCAAGGAATGGCACTGACCAGTCACGACCCCAAGAACACTGAGCCAATTCTGCCCGAAAATATATCCATGGCGTTCGGCGAGGCTGAGTACGTCAAGGATTGTCAAGTCCGCAGTATTAGTGCCGATGACACCATTGATGATGCCGACACGGTCGACCCGGAGACACCTCCAGATGGAGGCTGGGAGGCATGGAAGGTAGTGTTTGGATCCTTCATCGCTTTTATGTGCAGTTTTGGATGGTTACAATGTCAGTCACAATCATTCTATCCGAACTTGCAATCAAGTCCGCCAACAATGAGCTGATCCGTGACATAGGTATTGGCATTTTTCAAGACTACTACCAGAATGATATACTTCGCGGAATGTCGCCAAGCACGATTGCTTGGATTCCTTCTGTCCAGTCATTCATAATGTACATGATGGTAAGTATAAGCCACCAGATTTTTGAAATGAGTATAAAATTTACGGTTCTAGGGTATCGTTACGGGCCCCGTGTACGACAACTACGGGGCAAGATGGCCCATGTTGGCAGGCTCATTTCTCACAGTCTTGGGAATGATGATGACCTCGATATCCACAAAATACTACCAAATTTTTCTTTCGCAGAGTATTTGCTGGGGTGCCGGACTGGCTCTTGTTTTCTTCCCGAGTAAGTCTCAATCCTGGTTCGCAATCACCTGCCGGGCTGACGGGGGCTCTGTAGCTGCAAGTGTCTTGGGATCATGGTTTAAAAGACGCTATTCCCTGGTCATGGCTGTCGCTGTGTGTGGCTCCAGTGTTGGCGGAGTCATCTTCCCCATAATGATGGATCGCATTGTTCAACCTTTGGGCTTTCCATGGGCAGTGAGGATCGCCGGCTTTCTGAGCCTGGTACTTCTGGTCATTGTAAATATCATGGTCAAGTCTCGAATACGGCCACGACCTCAACCATTACGCATTGTGGACTTTGTTAAACCTTTCGCCAAACTTCGATTCTGTCTGACCGTGTTCGGTGCATGTTTGGTATACTTTAGCATATTTCTACCATACAACTATGTTATTGTGCAGGCGAAAGAGGCTGGAATGTCGGCAGGGTTTGTTCAATATTTGGTCCCCATCATGAATGCCGCCAGGTGAGTCGCAAATCCTCGATTATCCCCATCATCGATACAGATATCAGTGCTGACACGATCCAAGTATACCTGGACGTGTCATACCGGGGTATTATGCGATTCATTATGGCGGTTACAACGTTTTCATTCTCATATCAACGATCGCGGGTGTTTTGTGCCTCGCAATGTGGTTGCCGGCAAGATCGGATACAGCCATAGCCGCTTTTGCTGGACTCTATGGAGCTTTTGGTGGCGGCATATTTACCATGGTTTCTTCGCTGGTTATTTATGATTGCCCTGTCCGCGATATGGGAACTCGATTCGGAACGTTTTTCCTATCGACATCATTTCTGATCCTGGCGGGTAATCCAGTTGGCGGAGCCATTGTTTCGCTTGAAGATGGGGGTTATACTGGCTTGAAGATTTTTACTGGAGTTACCATGTTGGCCGGAGTATTTTCGATTGTAGTAGCCAGATTGATGATTACTGGTTTCAAGATCATGGTCAAAGTATGACATGTATAATCTTGTTTCACTCTGGCAACTCGTTGTATTATGAAAAGAGTGGACATACAAGGTTAGATAATGGGAAGGCTCGACTACACAAGCAAAGAGTGAACGAGTCTTCTTATACTATGGCAATAGCTAGATAGACACATCACGAAACATCCTACATGCACTGGAGGGTTGTCCTTCGGCCAAATCTTGAATCACAGTACACGATATTTTTTACAGAATGAGCCAAATAATACTCCTCCTGACAACGAACACGACTTTCAACTTCTGCTCTGATCTTGAAGACACCACACCACTCGCCGCGTGCCAATCACCTAAATACCAGTCTCCCCACATTTCTCCGTGATTGGATTACGTCCTCGAGGTGTATCTGGCGGTTGCCAAGACTCTCGTCCATGTTCGGTTTGTCAGCAACCGAGTCGTTGAGCGGTGGGTGGCGGTGGGTGAGCGGCTGTGTTTATGTGTCATGGACGGTGACAGCAACCTCATCGCTTGGAAGCAGCTACTTTCCGCTCTCGCGCGGCTTCACTCTCGATGAGCTCATGACCTTATCTAGGATCCAAGCCGCTAGTCCCTAAAAACGAGACATACAATGTCCCTTCGCCGGAAATCGTGCGATGCTTGTTTCAAGGGCAGACGGAAGTGCGACCTTTCCTACCCTGTCTGCAACAGATGTAAAGCGAGCCAAAGGCCTTGCCATTATATTCATATGCCATTCAGGCGACAGAACGATACCATCAGGGAGGGATTCCACTCAATTGAAGATGAAGCCTTGGACGCAGCTGCAACAATCAGTCAGGCAGAGAACAGCTCACAAGATGGGGAGTCGTGGGGTGCTTTGAACTTCAATATCAACCTACAAGAGGCCAGCTCCATGGAAGAGCTTCTGTTCCCTTGGATAGCACCCAATATTGTGGGAGACCTGGGTGAATTGAAACCCGTTTCAGACATAAACCCGAGCTTCAATTGGGTTACTACGCAGATGAAAACCTACCCTCGTTTATTTGCTCGCCAGGCGGAGACGCCATTCATTCACAAGTCGCTCTATCCAGATCTAAAACCCCGCTCGATTCGAGCAGCTCTGACAGTTTGTGCCGCCTCCGAGAATGTGGTTGGAGCAAATAAATCTATGCTCTTCCGCATCCTCGACGCCGAAGTCGTGGACTTGCTGCAACCTGGGTCAGGCTCGATGCCCACCCTTCTTGAGGATCTGGCAAAACTGCAGGCGATAGTGCTATATCAAATCATACGACTTTTCGATGGTGGCCTATCACAGCTTACTGTCCTGGAACAGCAGGCTGATATGCTTAAAGCCCTGGCACTAGGGCTTCTTCAGCGGTCAGATGTTGAGCTTCGCGATGCACAGCCTGGCTGGGAGTCCTGGATCCTAGCAGAGAGCGTTCGAAGAACTGTTCTACTGGTTTTCCTGGTCTACGGAGTTCGTTCAGTCTATCAGCACGGCGTTTGCCTCGAGCTCCCGACGTTGGTTCTTCTACCCGTTTCGACCCATGCCGCGTTCTGGAATTCCAAGGCCCGCTACGTGGAACTTGGTGATCAGGCGGGGACGTTGAAATACAATGATTTCAGCACGCTGTGGCTGACTTCTCCACCTAGAGAGCTTCAGGCTTTTGAGAAATTACTTCTTGTGTCTTGTAAAGGCATTGATCAGGTCCGAGCCCACGGCGGTCTCGACCTGGCCAATCAAAATGTTCAACCAGACATGAGTCAATCATACTGAACAAGAGGAATTCGAATCTCCTGTTAACGATTGTTCGACATTAAGAGAACGTCTCTCTTGAGAGGGACCAGGGTGTTCCTTGGATGACACCGAGGCATTTTCAAATACCTCACCACTCATTTTTGTTTGGCCTCTATGAATCGTCCGCTTTCAAGAAACCCGCACCGCGCCGCACCCCAAAGTTGTTTTACAGAGTATATTTGCGGGCAATTGTGGATGCGCCCCACCCAATCCCGCACGCCGCCTGCGGGATTCGTCAGCATCCGGATCCAATCCTCGACAAGGTTCGTCACTCAGCCTTGCGGCCTTCATGCATTCATGCCAGTTGATTGTAAAATGGACGACAATTTATTAACACTTAAAAGGCGCAGTATATACAGTATGAAAATTTAGTCGTTGGATGGCTTCGTCAATTCTTCCTCGTTTTCGACTTTTTTCTAGGTGAGTTTTATCAATCCGCAGGTCTCGGTATAGCTTTCGTTCTAATTCGATCATTCCCTACCAATATTGGCTGACAACCAGACTTCGTAGGTTTCTCTCGAGCGGATCATCCAAGATGCCCATCACCGAACTCATATTCCCAACGTACAAGCTTGATGCCGAGTCTCTTGCGGCTTTGAAGACCAATGAATCCCATATCTTCTCGCACCTTGCAAACGTCAATGGTCTCCAAGCCGCCTTCAACGGGCAAATCCTCGAACATAATGGATCTCCAGTTGATCCAAAGAACGTGAGAACATTGCTGGTTTTAGGTAGGAAGAAACTTTAAGTTTCCCTCTCTATTATTTCTTTGGAATTTTTGAATTGTTCCGAACTACATTTTGGTAGGAAGCATCTGATTGACGCATACATGGCGGTTACGTACGATAGATTGGGTCGACTCCGCATCCTTCGATGCTTTCTATCCCAAGTCCGAAAAGTTCCAGGCCTTCATTAATTCGGTGAAGCCTTTCGTCGCAGCTCCTGCTGTGCCGGAACTCTACGAGCAGCAAGAACGATCCATCGCCTGTACGTCGACGAATGTGACGCAGATCTTCAAGTCAACAACAAGCGACACGATAGAAAAGGCGTGGGAACAGCTGAAGAGCTCGATTCGAGATCAATACTCGATCGCAGACGCGCCAGCCTTCTACCATGCGACTGGGATCAAGGAGGATCAGGGCAAATTTCTAGGGTTGATCGGGTGGCAGAATCTTCAGGTGAGCAAAACACCACGAGACCTGAACTGAGTAAAACTCTGTTCAACCCACGATTTTTTGCAATTACTCCGGGTGAGCAGAGAGACAGACACATTCGTTGGTCAAATATTGTGCTTTCCGGACCGTGCTGGGCTGACTCACGAGAATTATTCAGGAATATGAACGTGTTGGAAAGGCCAGCGCCGTGATGGCGCGCATCCACGAACTGAGCAACGAGGCTGGCGGAGAGGTGGATAATCTCGTGGTGCAACTGGGCCAAATCTAGAATAGGGAGTCGAGGGCCGCGGCTCACGGCATTCTCGAGACAGGTACATGGGCTGAAGAGCAGCCACATGCCAGCCAAAGTCATGGCGAGGTTGGGGGTGAGGTGAGGTGTTGGTGAAGGGGTATTTTTGCACGTCAAGTATAGTACCGAAACCTTCTCTACTCTTGATTGTTGTTGCAGAGATAGATATCTATTAAGTAACAGCCTTACTCCTCAGGTGTTACAATCTAGCCTATGCCAGGCCAATTCCGAGCCTTGGTTTATTTTCCCGCTTTGCTCCCACATGGATTGTGTATATTTCAATCTGCAAAGAAGAAACATCACTTCTAGACTAGTTGGAGGAAATCAATGGGGTTCTCTCTCTCTCTCTCTCTCTCTCTCTCTCTCAGTACTTCCGCTTAACCTTTTCCTGTACTGAATATAGAATAGAAATCTGACCTGAGTCTTTGTCATTTGACTCTTTACTTTCTCTCTGCCCCTAATTCTTTGATTGTCGATTCTCGTATCTCTTAGCCGCCATATCCGTCTCGATGACGCCTGGATGCATGCACAGAATAGCACCGTGCGTGTCGATTTTCGGAAGCGACATACTCATACAGCTTGGCCAGGGCGATCTCGCTACTTGCATAGCTGGCGGGACATTGTTCTACGATCGAAGCAGGAAGGTGTGCTATCAACGAAGTTGATCGCGATCAGGACGGGGTCGTTACAGCAAGCATGCTGGAGGAATACGGAGAGTGATGATATATATTTTGGTAAAATGATGGCAAGGACCATATTGTGAAATGAATCTGACTTTGGTTTGTTGAACGAATAGACGGGCTTCGGAACATCCTTTTGTGTGTGTGAATGATTTTATACCTGGTGTTCTTCAAGGTCTGAAACTCCAAAGACCCACAACTCACGACCAACTGTCAATCGCGGGGAAGTGGAGGTTGAGGTTGAGGCGCAATGTCTCGTGGACAATCACTATGATGTACGGGGTATATTCCATTCATTCTAATCATGAACAAATGGAGACATGACTCTCTCTGGATGTGAAGCACGTTGTGGCCTTCCAATAAGATTCTTCTTATGTCGCTGAGTATCCCAGACTTCCGCGACACGCTTCAGGTCTCTCATACTGTCCAAGTAGCTCACCCTGCCAGCCAGTGCGACAGCCTCTGGTACGTCTCTGAGTAGAGTTTAGAGGCTGACCTCCCGACAGAAGCCTAATCGGAGGAATGAGCGGCCAGTTCGGGATGTGGCACCCAGCAGAGTGACAGGCTAGAAAACCCCAATGGTGTAGACGTATTCCTAGCCAGATCCAGCCCGTAAAAGTGTCGAATCAAAGACCCCAGACTTCCAAGGTGCTTCATCAGGAACCCTGAAACCGAAAATGCCCATATTGTGTTTGTGAGCCCAGGGGGAGGGGGGGGGGGGAAAGACGAGGCTGAATGACCCTGACAATCCTCCTCGTAGATCTGCCAAATCAGGCCAGTACTACATAGCCATGTCGTCCAAAACCCGTTGCTCAACGTACGCGGTATAGAAGTTAAATCCGAGGCGCGGGAAAGGTTGCGGAGTTATCTGGGGTGAATATACTCCGGACGATGGGTTATCTGCCTATCGAGTAGATCCGGCCCCTTGCCAGGTTGGCATCAACTCTGATATCTCGCCCTTTTTTGGCCGCAGAAAGAATCCCGTCCTTGTCAAAATAACCGTGCAGTTACACTGAATCTCGACTCTGGAGATAAATATGTGCTTTTCCTAGTCAAGGTAAAAGCGGTAAGAACGAGACAGTGTCGAGGTAGACATGGTACGATCACCTTGAAAGGCTTCGTCGAAAACTCTGCTGGAGTGCATGGTCGCTGTACGCGGTAACTAGACAAGATGCATTTCACGACATTCAGCCTCTTCAAATGCTTCGCCTCGCATGATCCCGTGAACGTAACAGTCACCGACAAAAGTCCAGTACTCGGTTCCTTCCACAGGGCGCAGCACCAGGGGTGTCTTGCTCCCCTTCACCAGAAATATCTGGTCGTCCACCTCTGCCCCCCTGGATAGGAGAGCAAGGTAATCCTTGGCTGTGCGGCCGAGTCTGCGTCCCACGGACGGGACGAGCACGGTCGGAATGAAATCTTGGCAGTCCAGCCAGTTCCCCGCGTATATTGCTAGGTGGTGCAGTATCCACAATATTCTCCGGAGGAGCCTCTCCCGAAACGGCAGACGCGCGACAAAGCGATGGGTCAGGCGATGGCAGAGGCTCAGGGTCCTGAAATTCCGCTCCAGTCGACGGTATTCCTTGAGGTCTTTCGCGGCGCCACCGGCGGAGAGAACGTTGAGAAAAATGTCGGCCTTATCTTCATTGGAAGGTTCAAGCTTAGTAGCCCCGGCAGTGGAACTCTTCCAGCTTTGAAATACTCGAACCGAAGAAAGCAGTGACGCTTCATTGTCGTGCGCCGAATTCGCCAGCTCGACAATGTCTTCGTCCATCAAATTGGATCCATAGACCTCCCAGAGCGTGGAGATGGAGTCAAAGTACATACCCTCAATCCTGAGTATCCCGTCTTCATGATAAGCTTGAGGTGTCGCCAGAGTCATCTGGCTGGCCCTGAATAAGCATTGTCCGGTGTGTGATGCAAGTCTTGATCCACCCAGAGCAAGTGACACCATCACTCCTCCTCTCTGCCTCCAGTCGGGTGTCCAAGAAGGTAATGGAGGTTGTTCGGTGCAGATGGGGCGAGGAACTGACAAGAAGTCAAGACAACGGTCGCGTTCAAGTATAGCTAGTGCTACTCCACCGTAGACTCTGGAGAGACTCTCACGGTAATCAATCCGAAATCGAAGAGTCTGGCAATCGGATGCCAGGGAGTAGGTGGCAAATACTTTGTCTCTTGGGTCCGTAGCCTTCATTGCCCTTGTCATAAGCAGCAGATAAAGGAGAGGAATCCTGTTGGATAGTCGCAAGCCTTGTACGAGGTGGAGAAATTGAAAGCCGTGACCCAGACCTCCTTCATGCTCTAAAATGTAAAAACCTCCTTCGATGATCCACTGAGCTGCCTCGGAGAACGTGTACCAATCCACATGGAGGCCAGCAAAGGCCGTGATTTTTCGAGCAGCAACAACTTCTTGTAGAACCCAAACTCGCGTGAACCAGGGACTTCGAATCAAAGCACACAGACGATGGAGGTCGTTGTAACGCATCTTGCCATTTTCATCTTGATGACGCTGATGCTCACGGTAAGCCTTTGCCACGTTTCCGTGACTAAGATGCGTGGCAATGCGTGCAGCAGTCGGTGAGGCTCTGGCATGAGCAATGCGAGCCACTGTGCTCCCAAAATCGTCGGCAAACAAGGAGTAGCCAATACCCCCCAACCAGACGATGACTTCTGCAGCAGCTCTGTAGATAGTTGAGATAAGACTGACTTGGACGGATTTTTCGATTTCGTTACTTTGATCAATACAGATCTGGTCAACCCATAACAGGGTTGGCCTGTTGATGGCGGCGCTGATTCTCATAAGACACTCGAACAACCGAGCAGTCACCAACAATCGTTGCTGATTACATATGATCGGATGGTCTAGCGGGCCATCACCCCAGCAGTAAGACAGCGCAACAAATATCGGTGGCCGAAGAAGAGGGACATGGTGAAGAAAACACTGTACTGCTCCAGCGTCAGACTGGCGAGGAAGAAGTTCCAATACTCGAATTTGTGGGGGAATATTTGGTGGTCCTAGAATTGAGTTGTACCGGAAGGGAGGGAAGGCAAACTTGGAGGTGGGACCGGATCCAAGAGACGATGCGATATTATAGTCTTGTCGAAGCGGCCTCTCCATGGTAAGACGAAGGAACCGACCACTGCTTCAAGAGGAAATTCGGTGTTGAATTGGCCCAAGCAAGTCTTTAAAGACTTAGAGGACAATGAGCTTCGGTTTCAGCCTCAATCCACGCATTCATTATCTTGACATTGGCAAGAGAATTCGGCACGGCCCTCTCTTTAGCTCCAGCAACGACCCAAAAGATGTGCCCCAGTCATCTCCTTTCATGGATTGAGGATCTTTGGACGCATGAGGGCCCTTTGGTCGGCCATCGATACTTTTATTGGGCTGGAGCTGATGCCCAGGCTGCATTGCAGTGCCACCCTTGGCATCTGGTGCTCGACGACCTGGTGCCATCTACCGCTGGACTGTTGGCAATTGGTGGGTTTCGACTGTCTCCAGCGACTAGGGAAGTTAGAAAAGGTCCAAGCAAGTGCCGTTGGTTGATTGGGTACTTCGATTTCTGGCGTACTTGTGGCTCTGTAAATCGTAGGCTATCGAGGCACACCATAGCAGCAACTGCAGGTGCCCCGTGATTCTTTGTATGATCTCCGTGTAGTAATTGAGCACGGCCCATCTGCCGGAACATCCCCATGTAATAAGTTGTGGATAGAGCACGCTGAGCAGTTCCGATCGAGCTCTGCCCTCTGGGGCTCCGAGATCAGACTGTGTTAATTACTGGACGACCATCATGGTCACCCAATGGTCATATAGTTGAAGTCCAGGTCTGCCAGCGGTGTCGAAATATGATGTCAAATCCCAGTATCGTGTCATATGCCGGAATCTCTGGGCTATTGTTTCTCATCTCCATCTATAGATGCCCAGTCTCCTTCGGTGGATCTTGTGTTACCCCGTTGCTCCGTTACAGGTCGTCAAGACATGACCAGGTCAGGGCAGTCTGCATCATGGAAGGGCTGGCTGCACTCCAAGGTATGTAAGGGTTCGTGATGAGGTAGTGGCAGAAACGGGGTTACCCATGGTCGCAGTGTCATTGCCCGACCTGCAATTTCAACTTCAGACGGACCGCGGGCTGATGACGCTACCTCTCCACTGGAGATGAAGTCGACTGTGGCATGGGGTGTCAATGTCAATAGACGGAACACCTATATGTCAGCTCTCTGATGGGAATGTAGTCCCATACGGAGTCACGTCAATGCCCGTGGATCTTTTATGTTGACAATTATGCAGACCGGAGCCGGAGATTTAGGGCACTTAGTGAGTTCACTGGCACTTTCATGGTTAGTTTCTAATTAGGAGGCATAGACCGGTCACATATTAATACATATATTAATGCCAATGGACAAAGCTCACATGGCACTAAAGAGGTCTAATCCGGCCTAATAAGGCCGGTTCAGGCCACCCGCCCACCTCGGTCCTTTTTCCAACCACCGGAGCCCGTCAATGAAGATGCCTACTTGTACAAGTACTCGCAACATTGCTTCTTCTCAGGCAGCTATGCCGCCCTGTATCTCCATCAAAAGGAAACGGAATCTCAAAGCCAGCATCTGACCATGAAGCTCGTCATATCTGGAGCGACAGGATTCGTCGCCACGGAGCTGATCCGCCAAAGCCTGAGCAACTCCAGCATAACTTCGGTGGTGGCCTTGGCCCGTCGACCTATCACGGTGCCCGACAACCTTGGCCCTGAGGCAGACACGTCCAAGTTGAAGACTGTGGTCCTCGAGGACTTTTCAAAGTATCCGGACGATGTGAGGAAGCAATTGGAGAATGCGGATGCTTGTATTTGGTCCGTCATTCCTGTCTAGTCGTGCTTCGATGGACCCCAACGGTTCATATAAACGTGGGGACGAGGCTAAAAGTCCAGATTCAGGACCCTCGCAATCACTCCCAGCAAGTCCAAAAGCATGCAGTGGGACGAAGTATACCGAGTTTGCCACGAATACACCATGGCCGGACTCAAAACGACGTTCGAGTCGTCCCGAGTTGCGAGCAAATCGACCCCGTTCCGTTTCCTGTACATGAGCGGCATTGCCGCTGAACGAGACCAGACCAAAACCCCGCGGTTCATGCCCAAATACTCCTTGATGCGGGTGAGTTCCTGGCATTTTGACACCACAGACCGCCGAAGGCATCTGACTCCTGCGGCAGGGCGAGACTGAGAACCAAGTTCTGGCCTTCGTATCCTCGCATCCCGGCAAGATCGAGGCTACCGTCGCGAAACCGGGACTGATCACGCAGCCGGGGAGTATATATCACTGGCTGCGCTCCACTTTGCTCTGGTTTGTAATTTCTCTGCCCAGCATAAGTGTCGTGGAAATTGCAGCTGCTATGTTGGATCAAGTGGTGAATGGGTTTGAGAAGGATCCTTTGATGAACGAGGACTTGGTCAGAATTGGACAACGCGTGCTGCACGAGAGTAGCTGAGGAACTTTCAATGCAAACGGGGGCTTATTGAGCTCACGGTGTAGAGAGGCAAGCAGATTGGGAGTTGCGTATTATGGATGCTGAACCTTTGCAATTCACGCATTTCGGCATGGCATTTGACAGAAGGCAGGAAACGAATGCAAGCCGGAAAAATGGGAGGGTTGGTGCTGTGTTCCAAAATTCGATATTGCCAGATGTGTGACCATTCTGTGCGACGACACCTAGAAGGCATCAAGTCCTTCAATGTCAAAATGCCTTTGCCGGTTGCTGGTTGCCCGTGCCAGCCCAACCGACGCCTCACAATGCACTTTTGAACCCTCCCAGAAGCCCCTAAACTCCGCGCTTGTCAGATCCAGTCTTCATGATCACTAGAACACCCATCGGTAACTAGCATATCTTCCCGCGGTTTCGCTTTTCCTGATGATCTTAACAACGTTCCCTCTCTTCAAGCCCAAGTATTTGGCTACAGGGTCGCTGAATTGGATTCGAGGCAATTGCGTCTCCTTCAAACGGTACCTGTCCAGGAGCACTTTCTTCTCTTCTGCGCTCAACAGTACATGTTTGGGCACTAATTCATGTCGTGTAATATTGACGAGAAGGTCCTGCTCTTGGAACCATTCAGCGGTAATTCCTCGTTCGGTAAGTGGCTCGAAGGCGCGTAGGGCAGCAGCCGTCACTGGGCCAATGGTAATGAAAATCCCCGTGGTAAACTTGTTCGCATCAAGGTGCTGGGCAAATGCGCGTAGATGTTTGATACCAATGGTAGTTTCGGGACTGAATTCAACCCAGATCGTGCCAGCCGTTGTTTGAGGGTTCGGATTCGATTTCGTGGCCCGGGGTGTGTCGCGCTTGATCATCTCTTCCGTAGGGACAGCTTGGAGTTTCATGAGCCTCCTCCTATAAAATGTGAGCATCAGGAGTGAAGTCGTCTAGAATCCATCTCGACTCACTCGGCATAACCGCTTTGAGGATCGCCGAATTTGCGCTGAAACTGATCGCGCGAGATTTTTAACTCATCCTCTGCGATTGCGTAGCCCTAGAAACAATGTCAGCTGTAGCAAGACGGCGTAGAGGAACTCTGATCCTTCCGTACCCTGTCGACGAGCATCTCCAACACTGTCCTCCATGTCCGCCACAATCTAGTTACCTCCTTCTCAGCTTCGACTGAAAGTTTGGGCCTGTCATCGAGATCCATATTGAGCGCGCTAATTGGGTGACACGAACCAAAGCGTTACAGAACAGAGACGTTGTCCTAAAAGTGGCTGCTTTCGTGGATGTCTTCGTAGATGCACGACCGCAGGCTGAGGAAAAATTCTGGATAAACCTCGGCAGTAAATTAGTGACTCGGATAATAGATTCGCCGTCCTGCGGGAACTGACTGATCTGACTCCCTTTCTCACCAACACCCTCAGGAGCGTCAAGCAGGACGGCCGTAATAAGGCAGCAGACCAAGCAGCAACAAGGCCTGGAAGGAAGTCATATGTACTTAGATACAAGATACCATAAGCTTGGTTCACTACGGGCATCGTGCTATAGTCGGGGAGACAGGCAAACATTAGGTCCATTAATTGATGCTACTCCCATTCGTGTTGAAAACTATCTCTGGCTGACTTCCGCTCCTTTCAAGGATGTTCATAACCCGACGAATACGCAGACTCGGTGTCCAATGTGTCGCCGCGCCCTTGCTCTGGCTCATTCAGTTAGTACGCCTTGATCTCTCAATTCCTGGATCGCGTCGGCAGCCCATTCTCCACATCTTCTGACTGGTTTCGTTGGGTCGAGCTTCTGTCCTTTGAGATTCAACTGACGTCCAGGGACTGCGATTCCTCGGCAGATAAGCTCAACTCGTTCATAGTCGGACTGCTTCACATGACCGATGTCTCGCTTCTCGTGAAACTCGGCTCGATCCTCAGGGCGCGTTGCACTCTTGTGTTCGTATGTCATGCCCATCAGAATGTTGCCAGTGACGTGATAGGTGTGGCCCGAGCCGGTGCCGTTCTCATGGGTCTCGACGAAGATTGCTTGGTGGTCGCGCGCGCCATGAGTGTAGACGTGGAAGACGCGATAGGTTGCCATGACTGGAATGTGAATGGTGTCAGGAGAGTTTATTTGTTTGTTTGTGTGAAGACGGTGCTGGTTCTCGAAGGCATTGTGATTGCGGATACCACAAGACTGACTAGGGAAGCAGAAAGGTCAAAAAGACTCATGAAGTAGAAAATAAAGGCAAAATAAAGGCAGTGCAGGCCAAACCCGATTCGTCAGTGATGTATCACCTTGGCGGTGCTTTTGTAGTTTTAGTGATTGTTGCAGCAGCGAGGAAGGATTATCGAACTATGGCGAGTCTCAAGTAAGGAGAACGCCTGGTTCAGCCTCGTATATGAGGCTGGGCTGTGTTACCCTTCCTTTACCTTCCCTTTAGGGCTAAGCAGAACAAGGAATGCTTAGTTGGTTGGTTTGCTCACCATGCAGTTCCCCGGTATCACAGGCTAGATCATCCTTTGTACACTATTTGCCACGTTGCTGAGGTCAATCATTGTGCAAGTGCCGTATAAGCGCTGAAGTATGTTGCTGAGGTGTTTCGCTGGAATATCTCTCCTGGAAAACAATGTGAAGAGAGCAGAGTTATGGGTATTGCTTCTGTGGTTCCTGTGGTTCACCTTTTGTCATCAACTCATGACAGTTTCTCCATCAAAGCATGGTTGATCATGGACACGCTACAACAAGCTGATGATGAGTTGTTCTTCAGCCGTCGGACTGGTCTACGATGCACCAGAGCTGCTTGGTGGACCACAGACTCTGGAGTGCATCTACTTGCAGCTCCAGCATTCTGGTCCACCGCAGCGACTACGGCGAGCTTGAAGAATGTCTAAACGAATTCTATCCGGCTGACCACAGGCCGTAAAACGCCATTCACAGTCCCACACGAAATTCCCAAGATAATTTTACTCCACACCGACTTGAATCGACACCAACCCGCAACTGCGACTCGAGGCGAGCCCTCACTTCATTCTCATTCTCATCACTGGTAACCTTGCCACTCTGTCTCGACCGCGAGACTCTTCACATTCACTCTGTGTCACTCTGTTGTCAGTTAAGAAGAATCTGGCTTCCACGTGCTCCTCACCGAGTCCTTCTCTTCACCTGCCACGACCTAGTATGGATTAGAAGAATATATATTAACCTCGACCATCTCTACCACGACCTGTCCCTTTGGTAACTCACTTCTGGTATCTGCGACCCCTGTCATCAAAAATGGCCGACGTCGACGCTCCTGCTGCCGCCGATGGCGCTCACAAGCGTCCTGAAAAGCCCGACGAAGCCAAGTTCAAGGAAGCCCTTGCAAAGGCCGAAAAAGACCACGAGGCTGCCCAAGCTCGCTTCGTATGTCTCTTCACTCAGTTAATGGAACATGAGAAGCCTTAGCTGACACTTGACAGAATGCTATCCGAGCCAAGCTAGACAGCGCCCGTCCTGGAAAATCCACTCCCGCCAACGATCGCTTCAAGGAATTGGTCGACGAACAAAAATCCATCCGTCAGAAGCAGCAGGAACACAAGGCGGCCAAGGCTGGACAACAGGAAAAGTTCAACCAGAACGATGCCTTGATCAAGAAGCTGTTCGCTGAACAAAAGGAAGCTCGCAGCCGTGCTGGATTCAAAAGTCCCGAGGAGATCGATGCGAAAATTGACAGCATCACAAAGCAGGTCGACTCCGGCCATATGAAACTGGTCGACGAAAAGAAGGCACTTGCCGAGATCTCGGCTCTGCGCCGCCAAAAGAAAGGCTTCGTGGGCTTGGACGACCTGCAGAAGAAGATCGACGAGAAAAAGGCGGAGAATGCTGAACTAAAGAAATCGTTCGACAACCCCGAGTCCCGAGCCCTCTCCCAAAAGTTTGAAGACAACCAGAAAGAGCTCGATGAAATCAAGGCTGCACGCGAAGATACCAATAAGAACTACGACACCTTGAAGGCTGAGCGAGACCGCCTGTACGAGGAGCAGCAAGCGACTTACGCCGCCATCAGGAAGGTCAAGGATGACTATTATGCCCAGAGGAAAGCTTACAAGGAGTATGAAGACACGGTCTACCAGCAACGGCGAGAACGACAAAAGGCCGAGCGCGAGGCGTACGAGAAGGAAAAACGCCGTCGCATCGCCGAGCAGAAGCTCGAAGAAGCCTCCGAGCCAGCATTCCTGGATCAAATCCGCACCGCCGAAGGCCTGATCCGCCACTTTGACCCGAGCCATCAGAACGATGAAGGCGACAAAGGACCTGGTCAGTTTGCTGCTACTGCCCAGCGAACTGTTGATGAGTCTGGCTTCAAGGGCATGAAGGTGATGAGGAAGGAAGACGAGGACTTCTTCGTTGGTAGTGGAGGCAAGAAGAAGGGCAAGGGCAAGAAAGGCGCTGCTGCCCCCACCGACTCTGGCAAGCTCAATATGAACATCGGTATCATCGAAGAGCTAGCCAAAGTTGGGGTCGACCCTCCAAGCACCCAGGCCGATGTTCCTGGTGTGGTTGAGAAACTCAAAGATAAACTGGCCGCCTGGAAGAAGGACCAGGACACACAAACCCAAAAGGTGAGGTAAATACCATTTTGACTATTTGACAGCCCTGCTGACTTGCTGCTCCAAGAACATCGAAAAAGCCAAGAAAGAGATCGAGAAGCTCGAACAAGAAGCACTCGATGCATCCAACGCTCCGTCAACAAGTGCCCGAAGTGGTCGTTACAACCACGCAAAGAAAGTGGCGTCAAAGGATGTGGGCGTAAACGGACCTGTCTCTGCGGATGGTGAGCTAGCTCAAGAGAAAGACGCAGTTGCCGATGTGGCCAAGGAGCTGCAGGAAGCGAAGATTGAGGACAAGGAGAATGAGGCGGCTGAAGCCTCACAGTGATTGATTCCGGTGATGAGGACGGGCATTCCACCGGGCCACCTTCCCGTCGCATGCCTATGTTGTTTTTGCATTCTCCCGAACCCGAAAGTCCGGGGTATCATCGATGCATTGGGGAGCGGGTTGCTGTGATTCCAACAAAAGAACGCGAGAGAAGTCCGACAGACTAAAAAACCAAAAGGAAAAGAAAGCATTGCCAGTCTTCCCAAGTGAATTAGCGTTGCGGTATTTCAAAAGGAGCCTGAGCGTGCATGGGCGCAGCCAAAAATGAGCCTCTACCAAAAATCCAGACGATTAGTCTGTATACGAATAACCCAGAACTTGAACATATACCCGTCTTTTGTTCCTTTCCCCTTCGACTCCTTATCATCATGTGCATCTCCTCGCCCGTCGTTCAATTCCGCAATTCCGACGTCATTATTGGATACGGAAGCAGTTGGACTTTGTAGCGTTCGGAGCATCTCCGCCTTGGACCGTCTCCATCCAGATTCTTCTAACCGACCATGCCCCTCATTCTCTATTGTACCGCTGCTGACTCTTCTCTACCCTTCAGAAATCAGACACTTGTAGTAGGCTATCAGGCAGGAAAAGAGGGCGGAAATGGCATCCATCTTTCGCTCAGGCGCTCTGGCCCTGATCAGCGGCGGCGCATCCGGCGTGGGCTTCGCCTTTGCGCAACACTGTCGGCGCAGTGGAATGCACTTGGCACTGCTAGACATCAACGCCACGTCGCTACAGGCAGCTTCCTCAGCTCTACAGGCCATCGACAACAAGCTGCTGACGCTCACGTACGAGATCGACGTGTCAGACCTCTCGGCGTGGGACGCGGTGAAGGCCGACCTGGCGGGCAAGTTCCAGACGATCGACTTCCTGATGCTGAATGCGGGCATCGGGATCCGGACGACCAAGCCGTGGGGGGACGCCGAGTACTTCCACAAGACACTGGGGGTCAACTTCTTCGGCATGGTGCACGGGCTCACGACGTTCCTGCCCCTGGTGCTCAAGACGACGGGGCCCAGCGCCGTGGTGCTCACGGGGTCCAAGCAAGGCATCACCAACCCGCCGGGCAACCCGGCGTACAACGCGTCCAAAAGCGCGGTGAAGACCATGACGGAGCAGCTGGCGCACGACCTGCGCACGCCATCGTCGTCCATCTACGCGCCGCACGTGTCGGCGCACCTGCTCGTGCCTGGCTGGACGTTCACGGGGCTGAGCGGCAACGTGGGGCCCGTGCCGGACGAGGAGGCCCTCAAGACGAAACCGCGCGGCGCCTGGCTCCCCTCGCAGGTGGCCGAGTACGGGGTCAAGAAGATCGAGCAGGGCCGCTTCTACATCATCTGTCCCGACACCGACGTCGACGAGGCCCTCGACAACGCCCGCATGACCTGGGCCGTCGGTGACATCACAGAAGGTCGCAGCGCCCTGAGCCGCTGGGACGACAAGGTCAAGGACGAGGCCGCGGACTGGATCAAGAAGGAAGCCGATAGGCGGAGAGGACAGTAAACCCCCTGCAGAAAAAGAACAGAGGACGTCAAAATCCAGGACCCTTGGGAACCACGGAGTGAAATTGGTGGATTATAAGGGTCTTGCAGGGAGAAGAAGAAGAAGAGAGGATGGCGACCAGAACATCCTCCTCCTCCTTTCCTCCTCTTCTTCCGAGAATACCCCCTGGAAATTGTGTGAAAATGATCCCGAATAACACAAAACAATATATTGATGCCGTGGATAAACATGCCACTCGACATCGATCTTTCAAAACTCGCGTTTCCGTGCTTCCCTCCAGAATGCTGAAATTGCGTTTTGTTTACTGATTCCACATCATTCAATTCCGAGACGATGTGTATACATAGATGAGCATTACATGCTCCTAGTTGTAGGGCTGTAAGGGGATCAATGAGGAGAGCAAATGCTGTGCTGTGCTACGTACGGTGGGGATAGTGCTCTTCCGTATACTCCTTCAGCATCTATTCATTGTTTTGTACCATGGCCTCGTAGTTCACGCCAAGCGGGAACCTTTGTCCTATAGACCTTGTGTAACTTCCTTTGCCTTCTCCTGTCTCCCGTGTATTGTGTCTTCTGGATGGTTCTGCACCTATCGTGCTGCCGCAGTGGATGGTCTTCTCAGGAAACACAATTTCCTGATCGTCCTTCCCCCGTATGTCAAGATCTGACTTGTGCCGTTAGTAGCGCGTATTCAACCTCGCCAATGTGATGTTGTACCACGAACGATATCGGATTTCATCAGAGACAGCAGCGACTGTGTCCGGCCATGTGCCGCTTTGCCCATAGAACGGTAGCATCCATGTGTCAAGCAGAAAGACTGGAGAAAGCCACCGGGTAGTCAAGATGTCTCCCCCAGACATTGTTGAGGCTCCTCCCTCATTTCTGTGTACTCACAATGACCGTCGTGTTATCCACATCTCAGAACCTGCCGGAGGTTGACTTGGGGTGGATCCCACACAACGTCTCTCACACTGACCTGTTGGCGCGCGGGGACCTTGACTCCCAAATGCCCTGGACAGGAGACATACTCTTTGTTCTTGACGAGCAGTAGTTCGCCTCTCCGGCCTTCCCTCAGCTGGGTTGTGTCATAGTCACCCTTCTGGTCCGGCTTAGTATACTCCAGACTGTTATCCAGTACACTCGCTGTCTCGAGACCTATTGCTCGTCTGGCCCTTGAACTTACGCACTCAAATAGCAAGTTTGCATCCTCGTCGGTACCGGCTTGGTAAATGCCAACGCCGAGAGATGCAAGAGCCAGCGGGTCCCCTGTCCCCCAGGGAGTGAAAGCGTTGCCGACGTTATTCACGGAGAGACAGCTGTTGATACCAAATCTTCGGATCATGTCGAGGACTTGAAGTGTCCCGCGAGGGCGGTCCGCGGATTTCGATTCCTGGTTCGAGGAAGCTGCAGAGGGACGACCCATCATGAACAGGTCGCTTGTTGGGAGGCCCACGAAATGGATCGGAAGCTTTGCTTCTCTGATCTCATTCGCCAAATCTCCCATCTCAGCATCACTGCAGAGCGTCAAACGTGTGCAGTGACCCAGAACGATCGTCTTCCCAGCTTGTGCTCGGGTATTCCAATCCAATGCTTTCAAGAGTCGAATCACTTCCCAGACCATAGGTTTTTGTGTCTCGTCGAGGTTATAGTCGAGGTGGAAATCCAGATGGAGATTACGGCTGATGGCAGTCTCAATCGCCCACTCGATGTTCTGTATACTTGCATCGGTGGACTTTTCAACATATGGCGTAGTACCAAGCACTTCGACATCGCCAGCGCAGTCCTCCAGCGCACGAAGCAGTGTTTGGCGATTCTTTTCACCATGTTCGGTGCTGAAGATCGGGTCTTGGGCAAAGGCACAGAGTTGCAACTTCATTTTCCCTCGGAAGCAGTCCTTAAGCCGCCGGCCTGCTTCGATACATGATTGACTAGTGACGTGATCAAGTTCGACAAAGGCACGGCATGAGGTTACACCCTGGGCCAGAGATGTGGCGAGGAGCTGGGCTCCTCGCAGGTAGAGATCTTCGGATGTGTAGCGTTGTTTGGCCGAGGAGGTGAACTTGAGGGCCTCGCTGAAGGAACCGTCTTGAGGGGTAAGATCAGTATAGTTTGGATGCTGTGACCCCTCTTGATCGGGCGGAGGCTGTGACGGATGATGTTGAGTGTTGCACGTCAAAAGATACGCTTTGTCCAAATGAACATGAGGGTGGCAGAGAGGCGGAAGAAGCAATGGTGAAGGGTCTGGAGATGAATCTCCTGCTGTAGGTGCTGCAGGTTGTATCCTTTCGATGATGTTTCTCTCGAAATCTACATCCCACCGAGACATGGGATCCCTTCCTGGAAGAATTGCGCTTTTGATCCTCATCTTGTGCATTTTGACCTTCTTTCCCCTATCCTACTCTTGTATGAATCGTTGATAGGGAGGAGAAATTGATCCTAGAAGTCGTGGTCAGCGGACCAACGCCCGGAGGGAGTTTCAGAGCTTGTCGCAGGCTAGACAGACGAGGGTGACGGAAAAGGGTCTATCTTGACCTCACTGCCGAAGCAACATGAGAAAGCGACAAGACCATCATATGATGTTACCTTCAGAAGACCATGTTCTGATAAAGGACCGCTAATTCGCCGAATTGCATAGGAAGCGTGAAGTTTGAACCGGGTTTTAGTCATCGTCGTCGCGGAATGCCGCTTTGAGAAACTGCCATTTCCGTGTCTCTATCTATGCATATCGCGCCAGGAATGCTTCATGCTTTATGCCTCATGCTTCATTCAAGAGAACAGCGAGGGAGACCCAACTTCTCCCATCTACTCAGCAAGAAAAAAAGCAGCACTTTTTGGTATCGGGTATCCGCACATCAGCCTATGTCGTACCTCGTGAAATGTCCGCCAGGGAGAGTCCGTTCATCCTGCTCAGATTGCGCCATTCGCTATGCCATGCCATACCATCTCGTCTTGTCCAACACTCGTCCACACTGAAACTTTCCCCCGATAACCCCAGGAAACCCTTTTTTGTCATGACACATCCATTTCTGTCTCCATTCTTCCTTTACATCGTACCATACTTCCTCACCACCTCGGCGACCTGACTGGCAAGTTTCTCCGCCTCAGTCTTGGAGTGGGCTTCCGCATACACACGGACTGCATCCTCTGTTCCAGACGCCCGGGCAAAGGCACGACCTTTGATATACATTTGGCAGTACTTGTCAATCTCCTCCTGGGCCCCTTTGGGAGACTCGAGTCTTCTCTCTGCGTCAACAGCTTTGAAGATGGATCGGTCATTGACCACGACGCGGACCAGGCGGTTAGGGAGGTCGATGTAGGTGTTGCGCCAGTTCTCAAGCGTCCAAGATTTGTGTGCAAGCACGACTTCAGCGAACAACATGTCGGAAATGGCGTCACCAACGGCTTGGTTGATCAGGTCAATACAAGCGCGGAGGGACTCGAGAGCATGTTTTTGCCCAGGGGACTTGGGTTCGGATTCTCTGATGAGCTTGATCGCGTTTTCTGAGAAGAGAACTGTGCCATGTCCGTTCGCCTCGAAATACACACCAATGTCGTAGCGGGCTGCAGCATGGTGAAGATGTTTGACGCCAGTGGGAGTGATGGTGACGGGCAATCTGAGTACTTTCTCGACGTACTCGGTAGCCGCTCCATTGGCGTAGGCAGTTTGCACGATGCCGATCTTCAGCTTCTGGTCAATTCCAGCGACACGAGTCATGTCCGCAAGGAAAACCGCCCCAAGAGTAGCGATGCGATCACCATCCAGAAGGTGGAAAGTGTTCTGCTCATCGGTGTAGTAGTAGACCACCCGATCGGCATCGCCGTCGAGAGAGCAGCAACGATCTCCTGGTTGCGCGTTGGAGTTGGGAGGGGCACGCTGCTTAGTCTTGACATAGTCCGCACCACACTGAGGAATTCAGCCAACGGTCAATAGGCTCTGCGATCTGGTGAAGAACTCACCTCGAAATTGAGGGCCTCCGGTTTGACCACATCATCGTTGACCACCTTGATATCGATGCCTCCTTCTTTGGCGGAGGGCAGATATTTGATCAGCTCCTTCAATTTCGGTCCTCCAACGCCATTGGCACAGTCGACAGTGATGGGTCCCTGGATGGTACGACCGTGCATAATAGTCTTGAATGCCTTGGCCATCTTTTCATAGTAGCCTTGCTCGGTTGGCTCGCCAAAGGCGTATGGAGAATTGATGGTGTTGAGGCAGCGGACAATATAATGCAACTGCGGGGTGGTCATGAGACCATGGTCGACATACTCAACGTTGACGGCGTCCAAGGCCGCTTTGAGAGCGGTGACCAGGTACGGTCCAGAAGCACGAGTGTCGCGGGCAAACACCACCTTTGCGGGTCGTTCATGGAGCTGGCTGATGTTGCTGATCAAGGTCTCGTTGAGCAATTTCTCGTATTCCACCCCAAGCTGCTCACTGGGAGTATTGGCCAGGACAGTCGCATACGATTCCCATGATTGCTGTCTCAATTGTCAGTCACGTGGTGAGGCCGATGTGAACGACGCAATCCGATACCTCAAGCATGTCACCCTATTAGTCCTCCTGTTAGCCTTCTTCATGTCGATATGTGATATGTGAATGATGACATACCATAGGATCAACCAACTTGACTCCGTTGTCTTCCGCCGGGTTGTGACTGGCGGTGATCATGATCCCAATTGTCGCATTGCGCTTCTTGGAACGAAGCGCAGCGATAAGGCCAACGGTGTAAATGACATGGTCCAGACCAACATTTCTGAATTCCACTCTTTGTCAGTTGAAAGAATTACGGGCAAGGTCAGGTGGAAGGAGAGAGGTAGATGTCAGCTTCGTGCGGCTGAACAAGGACGTACGCCTTCATGCGGAACTGGAGACACTCGTGTTAGTTCCAAGCATCAGAGAAGCAGAGGAAAACGTACGCCTGCAGTGCCATACTCATACTTTCTCCCTGCAAGGATGGGATATGGCTCAGCACCTTTGGTGATACGATCCAGAAGATCCTTGGGCAGATGAATGACCGGCTTTGGCTTGTTCAAGACCGAGTCTCGAGGGTCTGGGTAGGACATGATGGGCAAGGCGAGACAAGGTGTGCACACAGGGTTGCACCCACTCACGACCTGCTGATAATGCTGAATGAAGCAAGACTTTGCCCGAAGACTTTACCCGCTGGTACTGGAGAAGGAAGAAGACAAAGAAATAAGAGGAAAGGTGATCTGCGATGAGAGAAGATTGAAAACGAGGCGGGATGCGCAAGTCACTAAGAAAGACTTCTCCAACAGACGCTTTGTGCATTCGCTAACTAGGCTGAAGGTGCTTAGAAGCCACCAGCCGCGCCGAGCCACAGGGGCCACCAGATGAGAAGTTACTCCCCGCGTGCCTGACTAGTGACCTTCTCGGCGTCCTAGGGACCAATAGGTGAGTTTAGTCGAGGCGGCAGGGGCGGCTGAGGCGCCCAACAACGCCCCAAATGAACGTGGGGGGTCCCTTAACAATAATCGACCGTTTATGCCTGTCACGTCAGAGATGCCCTGGGCGCTCGTCCCATGACCCCTCCAACCCCTCCCGCTCGCGTTAAACAGCTCCGACTGGCGGGGTTAAGTACCTTTGTAAGGTAACTAGGGAGAACACAGAAGATAGTTCGGCTCGTTGAATCTTGCAATCTTGAATTTGGTCTCGTAGCCGTTATTCGCTACAACAACCAGCATTGCCCCTCGGCTCTCATGAGAACCTGTGGAGGTCTGAAGGCTTAGGTGGCTGTGGTTATGCTTTGAGTCGCTGACTGGCGAGATCTTCTTGAGCATCTTTGATCAGAAAGCTGCGTGGACGGGTCAGTAAGAGTAATCAACCAAGAGACAAATAGTTGCCACCTTACCTATACCACCAGATTGTAGGTATCACGGTTCCAAGATGCCATAGGCTGTGAGCATCTATCATGCCAGCCATCGGAGGAAAATCAAACAGCTCCAAGCTCATAGCCATGATAATCCAAGCTACAATCAATCCCGGCCACGCTGCCCACGATTTCTGCAGCTTGCGGTATCGCGTGACGCTGAACCAACTCCAGAGCAGATTTTGAACAATACCTGCAACGACATTGGCGGCCATGTTGTAGGTATAGTCCCAACTCCACGCCGTCAAATAAGTGACGTGCGCCACGTAAAGGAGAATGCAGAGAACCGTCCACGCCCTTAGGATGCTCTGTTTCATTGGGTCGTTCTGATCCAGTCGAAATACCCGGATGGGAGAGTAATAAAGGCCATAGAGAACACTGGCACCGGCAGCGAAATAGTCCAGCTTCTCGGTAATGTTAAAGTCTCGGGTGTGAAAAATCATGCTGAATATCCAACTGGCGAGTCCAAAGTAGCCAAAGGCCAAGTAATATGGTCGGAGAGGGTATCGAGCGGGAATAGAGTCGCGAATTCTCTGCATGCCATTCCGATGGGCAAGAAAGTTCATCAATGAGAACAAAACAGAGAACGGTTCCTGGATGCCCATGAAACGATAGAAGGGCCACTTTCCATGATACTGGACCACTGGCTCAATCATGGGTGGATCTCGTGCTTTTCGGCGATCGGTGATGACATGCTGGCAGGTATAATCACATTCGGATGGACAATCCCAGAGCAGAAGTCTTAGATGAAGAGCTGAAGGCAGGGAAGGGTCAGCTATAATTTTGGATAGCCCATCAAGGGAACACTCACGTATGCTTGCTCGTCCCGACTCACAATTCTCCTCGATGCAGACCTGAAGCCGTTAGCATTTGTGAGGAGCTTGACGGATGACATTCAATGGGTGCACGTACTTGAACACATTCCCGGAATTCAGGGAGGTGGTCACCCAAAGATGCTTTGCACGAGCTTGCGAGGATCAAGAGAACCAGAACAAGGGCAGAAATCCTGACAAAGCCGCCCGACAAGCACCTCATGGCCATGTATCGAAGCCAGAACTATATTATAAGTTTGCGTTTGCCGTGAATGTTCGTGACCAACAATACGAGAGCAGAAAGTCTCAGTCAAGGGGCGAAAACAGGGGGGAGCAAGGAGCCGGATTGATTTTGACTAGCCGTAGTTGGGGATCCCCTTATCATTCGTTGGGATCTATTCCGAGGGTCCGAGCCGAAGAGTATTACTTATGGCGGGGCGGAAATGGGACTTTCTATTGATGTATCTGTACTCGGTATATGATGAATTATGATTTATCACGACACCTGGAGGAACAGGGGCCACAACAGAAAGGGCTCAGTCGGAGCAATAAGTTCTTGGCTGGCGAGGCTGCTGCAAGGCTGAGACAAGGCTGAAGCTGGCAAATCTGGCAACAGATGTGCCGCCTCGACGTTCACAGTCTAGGCTATGTCTACCGCGTGAGATTCGCTCATGACAGGTTTAATAACATCGTCCCAACGCCGTCCATGTCCTAAGAAGGCAACACATAGACACAACTGAGGTTTCTTCCCCTGTCAAGACTATCTAGGTAGTACACTAGAATTGTCCCTGACTCACTTTGCTCACCTATAATTAGGACTACTTCGCCGAGCGCAGCATCGCAGGCTTCCTTAAAAGCAGCGTGACATGCCAAGGACGGGACAAACAGATCTCCGACTCGGCTACAGCCACTGCGGGCAGCAGAGGAACCTCCCACCATGGACAACAACACCAACATAACACTACATGACTCTGCAGGTGAGGACCTAGATAGTTTCAGCCTCCCATAAAATATGGCCTCGGCATGTAAAAATACTGCAACATCAGACGCCAGATGAGACCTGTCCTTTGGCAAAAGACCTTGTTCCGATATGAGATCATCCCTGCTGGCATCCCTGCGCAGTCAACACAATGGACGCTGGTGATCCAGCTACTCCAACTGACGCCAGTCATCCTCCGCAATCTCCTACGGAACAGACACCTCGCAAGCTTCCAGACGACCTGCCGACATCCCTAGATGACCGTCGTCCATTTTCCAGCTATGGCGAGGAAACCGAGTTATATGATGGATGGCAAGGCAAGCAGCCCTCACAGGTCTCGTGCTTCGCGGAGATGAATACTTACAAGCGGTTGTTTTGGAATAGGCTCTTCCCAGTATATCACGGCACCTACCCCTGCAAGAGCCCTGACATTCGACCTGCATCTGGATACCCCGGCCTACGATGATGAGGAAACATTCGCCCGCATACAGGACAGCGACTCGCGCCTGATGGAAATGGTGGCAGCTCAGGCGCATCACAGAGAGGATGGCAGTCCTGGACAGGATGAAGATGCCATCGCCATGGACGACAAGCTCTCGGACAGCGAGAAAAAAGAGATTCTACAGAAAAGCCTTAACATGGCAGCAAGTAATGGAGACGTGGCTCGCATCCAGAAGCTGGTTGGAGGTAGGGCCAAGCAATATGTTGATGTCAACCAGCCAGATGAAGAGGGTACCGTGCCGCTAATATACGCGAGCTGTTTTGTGCGTCCCGCCCTACCAACAGACTTGTTACTCCGACTGACGTGTGTCAGGGACATCATGAAGTTGTTGCCGCCCTTCTGAACGCCGGAGCCATCGTGGACAAGCAGGATCGAAACCAGTGGAGCGCATTGATGTGGGCAATGACCAATCGTCACAAGCAAATTGCCAAAATGCTGCTCGATCATGGAGCCGACCCTGACATCAAATCTTCGTCTGGTGGCACCGCGCTTGACTTCGTCCAACCCGGATCCGATTTCTCTCACTACCTGCATGAGAACGGATATCATTTCGGGGCATCGAGCTTGGGAGATGACTTTTACAACTCGGGCTTCTCCCAGGATCGTTTCGAAGAGGAGATGGCCGAGAACGAGATGAGAAGAAGGATGTTGATGCAAGAAAGCGCGGCTAATCTGGAGGTCGATTTATCCACGTTAGGATTTGATGAACAGCCAGAGGTAAGCCTACCTGACAAGGGCAAATGAAGTGTTTTGCTGACGTTTTCTAGTCGCCTACTGATCTTGAGGTGGACGAGGAAGAGTTCATCTGGGACCGTTGTGTTGGCGACCAGATGTTTGTGTTCCAAGCTGATAAGCTGGATGCCATATTTGACCTGATCATTACCAATATGACGCCGCAACGATCCCCATCGCAAAAGCCCATACCGGCGAACCTGATCTTTCTCATGGCGCGTTATGCACACTATCACATGACGGCCTCTCTTCTGGACGATGTTCTCACACGAGCCATGGATCTCATCAACGACGTCATCGAACGCTGCCAGTGGGATATGACCATGTTAGCTTTCTGGATATCCAACGCGACTTTGCTCCTCCATTACCTGAAGAAGGATGTAGGACTTGTGCAGGCCACATCCAAGTATCAGCTTGAGCTTGCGGAGCTGATCAACGAGACCTTTATCCTCATCATCAGGGATGCTGAGAGGAGAATGAACAAGGTTCTGGATGTCGCAATGTTGGACCATGAAACAATACCTGGTTTAGACGACATTGCTTTCCAAGGAGAATGGAAGGTCTTCAAGTCCAAGCCCAAAACGAAGGACGAGCCCCCAGAGAAGCGATTTCGACCTCCCTCACCCAAGCGACGAGCACAAACGTCTCCGCGCAATATTACCTCACTGCTGTCTTCCACCCTGTTTGTGCTTGACTTATACGATGTTCACTCGGTCATCACATCACAGATCCTGTCTCAGTTGCTGTATTGGATTGGTGCCGAATTATTCAACCGGGTCATGACCACAAAGAAATATCTTTCGAGGACCAAGGCAATGCAAATTCGCATGAATGTGTCTGTCATCGAAGATTGGGCGCGGACCAACAACCGACAACCCGAACACTACGAGCACGGCTCCACGATCTCGACTGGAGAGACCACAGTCGACGCTGCGCGACGACATCTGGCACCCATTATTCAACTGCTTCAGTGGCTCCAGTGCTTCAGTTCGCTTGGCGAAGACCATGAATCCCTAGTCGGGACTTTGGTCCAACTCCAACGCCTCACCCCGACACAGCTGATCCATGCGGTCAAGAATTATCGAGCTGAAGTCGGGGAAAAGAGCCTGCCCAAGGCACACATGAAGTTCCTGACTCAATTGCAGAGAGGTGAACAGTCGTTGATCAAAAGACCACTAACGCCCATGGTTGAGGCCACCGAATCCGGTACGACGACGCCGGCAGGGCGGAATGGAACCCCAGCGCCGGCGCCAGTCAACAAAGAACCGAGCACGCCTCAGAAGGCGTCAGCGCCTTCAATATCCTCGCCAGTCGAGCAGGACACAGATCCGCCAATGAATCGAAACGCGCTGACATTGGACCAGTCTCTCATGCTACCATTTTCACTCCCCACCTCGACAGATATGCTCATCAGTTATGGAGCGGGCATTGGCGGGACAAACAGGGAGCGAGCGAGGAAATATATCCCAACTGTTCCTGCAGAAGTCCTCAGCAAACTGAACCTGGATGGGGATGGTCGACGGCGGGCAGGGAGCATCGGAACCATTGGCACTACAGCCCAGGGCTGGCGAAACAGCGCATTTTGAATGAGATATTTCGCAGGTCTTCGGCATATTCAACAACCTTTCCCACGCAACGGGCACATCCAAGTGGTGATGCACAGATTCGCACTTATAGGTGGTGACATGAAAGAAAGGATCTGGCCTGTTATTAGTTTTTGAGTTAAGAGTATTTATGTATGAGTACTCGTACTCGCTGTGCTTGTCAACGATGTGTCCACTGTATCAACTCAGGGCACATTACAAGCCCTCCTGACCCGGTAGGGAATCAGTCACCCACATGATTGCAAAGGCCAAAAAGGATTGCGGGTATAGTCTGACATGGCAAATTTGTAACAATGCCACACATGCCTACGTAGTTACGTAGTTAGTTTCAAGCGCAAAAAAACTTGCGGCTCGTCGTCTTCTTGAGATTAATCGCTCGTCACTTTACTCACGCTTCGCTCACCTTCTGCTTGCTAAGTGCTTCCTCTTGAGCGCTCCCTAAAAGGAATAAAAAGAAAAAAGAAAAAGACAAGAACAAATCGACGCAGATTCCATCTCGAATCCGAGATTCAGGTTTGTTGAGTACAAAGTGCCTCGTACAGGCTCAGTCAAAGCTTACTCCGTAGTTTAAAGGTGCCTACGGAGGATGTCGAAAGCACAATCTAAAGGTAGGCACTAATGGTTGCTTTTGCAGGGAGATGGGGTTCGCTTCTCGGGTACCTACCGAGCTACCTAGTGCCTACAAAGGTACCTATGGCGTACCTAGCACGCTTACCTAGGTAAGTAGTGAGTGCGTTCAAAGGATCAGAGGGTGGGCAGGGTGGGGAAGCTCCCAACCAGGACCCGCTTGCTCATGCCTCCAACTCTCTTCATTTTACTCACATCGACCACTTTTCACATCTCGGTGCTCGCCCTGCGACGCTCCATCGCCCTCAGGAAGAGTGATAGGTGCCGATGTACCTCGTACAAGTATTTCTCTGCCCTGCCATATAAATCCATCAGATCCTCGCGCTCACACTCAAACAGATTGGATTACCAGCCTGCTCCACTGAAACCAATGCTGCTGATGATTGCAATTTCGCCAAAATCCAGCGCCATCCCGCCAATGTCTCGAACCCTAGCGGCTCCGACAGCCATCCTCTCCAGATCGAGGGAAAGAATCTAATCATGGCTTGTTCGCCAGGTGCCGGCCATCCTTCTGTGGCGGCGATAAACAAGGACTAGGGCCTCTGTTTCTGAAACCTCCTCGTGGGCTGTCCGGCACCTGCACTCTGTCGAAAGCCCAGGACCTGCCGTTTATCTGCGACAGTCCCCCTCCTCGCAAGC